AAAACCCATTAGTTTCAAGGAATGGCCTCGAACGTCTATCTCTTGTGATAGTCATAGGCAATCATTTTTCCTTTTAAGAGCGCTTATGCCAACTTTTTCTGTTCAAATCTCTCTTAGAACCCTGTATATTAAATGTATGTTTTTAGCTGATAGACTTTAAAAAACTTGCCCCCAATGTGAGCTTGGATGCGGTAAATATTCCCGAAATCCCAGCCAATAGGAAAGCCACAAATGTGCGCTGGCTCATCACCTTAATAGCATCCATCGTTATTCTGGTAACTAGAAGATCGGTATTTTTTGCAATTTTCACTGATACAAATCGTGTGCTCAGATCCCGTTTCTGATCTACACGATGATGCACTCAGACATTAAGAGGCTCACTGTGGGATACGATAGCTGTGGGGACGTTTGTGGGGAGATCAATCAGCATCGGGATGGAGTTGCGTGTTCTGGCCAGGATTTGACTACTAAACCGTGAGTTTTTTTTATATATAAACCACAGCGAATGCAAATTTACTTCCCTCAGCTATATAAAATACGACGATACATTTGCTGGGGCGGACTCTTCGACATGGACGATAAAACGAGGCTCCTGCCTAGCAACTTGCCCCAATGAATAGTAAGTAGCATCGGCAAAATCGCCAAAAACGCTTTTGGAATAATCGACTTTTTGCCCAGTCTGGTCTATAACGGGGTTTGTTTGAAACAATCGACCATCCGCCACCAAAACGCTATGAAGAGTACTGTTGACTATGACTACGAAAACTATGATTCGCAGATTGAGGATGAAGATTTAGCTTCCTATTACGCCAGTATCAAGTGGCAGCTGATAATTTCCTGCTTTTTATCAATACGTAAGTTATAAACAGTTCGTATTAGGTATACAGATTTGTTTTTCAATTCGCTTTCCAACGATGCCCAAACGAATTTTCTGGCTCAAATGGTTCTTGAGAAATTTCGAAAAAACGAAAGTCATGTTGAGTCGATTTTGCCACTCAGACAAAGCGCGCAAATCACTTCTTGCAATCAAGAGTTTTTTGCGAAAACTGCCAACATTTCCTTATCGATGCTTAATTTTCTAAAAAGGCCATTTAGTTCTCTCTGGAATGATGAAAAAATGAGCGCTTTTGCTCATTTTGCTTCCGAGAAATGAGCAAAAACGGGACGGAAAACATGAAATTTTGGCTTAATCTTGCACCTAAGTGTCT